TAAATCTTTTCCTTGATAAAGTTGTGCTGCACAATTACAATCAATGAGAGTTGTAGTTCAGTTGGGATTTGCATCTGAGCTTTCTTAACAGAGATCTAATGCAGAGGGTTGGATCCATACAATTCATAGTTATGCATAAAACATCCATTATTATCACAGAGACCTATGTTAGCCAAAACTGAATCCAATCTTTCATCTATAATCTATTGCTTTGTTAGTTTTATTCATTCATATCATTTCATCATTCATTATTCAATTATACAGATTTCCAGATACAGTATAGTACTAATGCTCTCTGCATTTTATAGTGTTGCCTAGAAATCCAAATTGTTTTATAGTAATCTTGTGGATCCAGAGATCCCTATCAGATTAGTGCAACTACATTTTCACTAGTGCTATCCATTCTTGGATCTTCTTAAAATTCTGGAACAGAGCATTGCAATAATATTTGTTGTATACATTCACAATTTCTCTATTATCATAGAGTTTTCCAGTGTTTGAATTTCAGGTAACTCCTGGAAGAAGAAAAAATGCTATTCTGACATGACTTGGGAAGCAATAGAAGAATCATCAACTTTAACATTTTAATTGAAATGCAAAGCTTAAACAGGTTTTAACCTAAACAGTGTTTTTACAAGTGTATGTGGAGATATAAAATCTGTTGGTACAGAACACCCTGGGTGCCACAGGAGTTGGTTTAGTGGCTGAACAGTCCCTTATTAGCTTATACACCTTGCCTTGTTCTATGCCTCAATGGTTTTCAATAGAAATGTTTTGCCTAGGGGCGCACAATAATTAAGAAAAGAAGACTGTGCTTGCTTAAAGACTGAAATTATTAGCTCATGGTAACAAGCCTGCACTAGAGAGACTGTTGAGGCTTTGTGTTTGTGAGTCTATAGTAACTTAATTTTTAATTTTCAGAGGAAAGCTTTTGTTTTGTTAGGAAGTGTTGAAATATATGATCACTTGAAAATTATTTAGAATATGACTTAAATAATATCAGTTTCAAGAAAAAATATATATTGTATCTTTCTATAAAAAAATTAACAGTATGAATAAAGAAAATTCCACACGGAACTATTCCTTCTCCTCTGCCTCCCCACCTCCACTAGCCAGTCTGCAAAGCCAGAAAGATTGGGGAACTCTGTGCTACAGAGGGTTGTTTTTATTTATTTATTGCTGATTTAGTCATCATTAGGTATCTGTTGATAAATGGCAAATTATTTTAAATGCTTCCAGCTAGTTTCTAGAGAGTTGTAGAATTCTTCTAAATAACTACTCAGCTTGAATTTCCTTGCTTATATCATCAGACCCAGCAGTTCAAAAGTGGGTGATTGTGAGTATCATTTCGGTGAGCAATTAATGGGGACATGAAAGGAGCCCTCAACTGGGTGTTCCTGGGCAACAGCCATGTCACTGTTCACTCCTTTCAGCACTTCAGTGCTCCCGACACAACTGTAATAGTAGTACTGTAAAACTAACTTTTACTGAATCTCATTTTGAAGGCCCAAATGAACCATTGCAGTCTTCTCCCATTCATGCAAGTTTACATTGCAAACTTTCAGTTGCTTGGAAAAGGGGGTTGCAAAATATGATGTCACAGTCTTGTCTGAAAATTTATATGTGAAAGAGATAAAGTTTTGATAGTCAGGGCATTTTTTCCTTTACAGCAGTAGCTCAAGGTTGTTGTTGTTGTTTTTTTTCAAAGGTGGGGCGGTGCATAGAGAGGGATTTGTTTTCTGTAAAAAGTAGTTAATGGAAGTTTATTACATCAGAAATTGCTATAGCTTAGCTGGCAAAACGCTAATTTCATAATGATTCTTCCACTCTCCTGTTTCTGTCAGCTGAAGGGAGAACTGATTGGCACATGATATTTATGCCTGTTTTTAGTTAAACATTTGGTCACATTTAAAACATCTTGGAAAGACTAAGAAGTGGAAAAGATGCTCCATAGAACTTAAGGCTTGTAACCATCTGCTGAAGTTTATTTGGTAGGAAAACTTGGGGAAATTTCTGGAAATGACTTCAGAGTTTATAGAGGTACAGTGTGTGTTTATTAGTGCCCATTTTCTAGATATTAGATGTATTTAATGTCAGACATATTGTATTTGACACTGTAAGATATATGGATCTTTATGATCATTAGCAACCAATGAAAGACTGTGCATGATATTTTTTTGTATTATTGGAGTATTGACAAAAATGACTCATGACATTCAAAAGTGTAATTTTTTTCATCTAAGAAATATTTGAAAAGTCCCAATGTCCTACAAAGAAGAAAAAAGCAATAACAGCAAAGCCAGTCTTTCCTCAAGTACAAAACACAGACTTGCAAAATTTGAACTCAAAATGAAGACAATGCAGTAGTTAAATTACTATTTTTAGCATATACTGTGTTTTCCCAAAAATAAGACCAGGTCTTATATTAATTGTTGCTCCAAAAGACTCATTAGGACTTATTTTCTGGTTAGGGCTTATATTCGGGAAAATACGGTACTTTTTTCAGTATAAACATTTTTGGTATAAATAATTTCCCTTATGAAATCATATATTGGAATTGGGAAAAAAAGGTTGAGTTTTTAGAAAGGAATGTTGAAGTGCTTAAATTACTTAGGTGATCTTTGTCTATAACAATATGATTTGATGAGGTATGAGAATTAATTGGATGGAACTGGAAGTCTTTGTAATGAATTGAAACATTAAGGTTTAATACTGGTTTTTTTCTGTTTTTTTTAACTAAGTTACTTATTATTGGAAGAAGAAACAAATTGAGATTGGTGATAAAAAGAGGGAGGAGAGAGATTATGAGTTTGAACATATCTGGAAGAGATAGTTGAAGTGATAATTGGGTGATATAAAACAATATTTGATTATAATAATTGTAAATTGATAAAGTTTTAAAACAGGTTTAGTAGTAATAGAAATTTAAGCTAGAAATGGAATATATAAATTTACTATGTTATTTGAGGGAAATAGAGAGATGATGGTGAATGTACTAAGATGAGCTGTTTATATGTTTTCACTTTGGAATGTTTGTTCACCCAATCACCACGGTGTGTCATAAGTACTTTTTGTTAAAATTAGAAAACCAATAAAATACATTTTTTTTAAAAAAATAATGATAATTTCCCTTATATAAGGGACTGCTTTCAGTCTCATTAAATCAAATTTGTAGAACATTTAGCTCTGGAACATTTAAGTAACATTGCAATAATAGGGAGGCCTAAGGGCTATCTGAGCACAAGTCAAGCCAAAGCAACTTTTTGTCAAATGCCTTAATATAACCAATAAAACTAAAGTTTCTATAAAAAAACAATACAGAAAGAAAGCCTGGCTGTGATCTTTAACTCAATCCGGAAGGCTACTTGCTTTGCAAGTCAACTTGAAAATCATGCCTCCCATACCAAGAAGTATAATATTTATGTGTATATTTGTTTACCAAAATTTAAAACCACACATTTTCTTCACAAAGAAAGACTCTGTATGGTGTACAAACAAAATATTAAAAACATTAAAATGGTATATAAAATTTAGAAAGAGGCAAGCAATGTTAAAAGCTGGGGGAAGGGTTTAAGGCCACTAAAATGTGCATCTCAAGTATGGCCGCAGACCCAAGTTTTCATAGCTTCCTGGAAGGCCAGGAGAGTTGGGATCCAATTCACCTCCAAGAAGAGAATGATCCATAGGATTGGGGCAGTGGCAGAGAAGGCTTTCTTCCTGGACCCCACTAGCTGGAATTATTTGACTGACAGTGTCCACAACATATCTTTCTGCCTAATATGCACAAAATCTCAAATATTAGTGATGAAAGAAAATAGCCCTGTTCCTGTAGTTAATTGGCACAGTAGAAGCTCAGAATAGTGTATACAAAGACTTTTTAATGTTTTTTTATTTGTTGTACCCCTGAGATCAATATTACATGGTGTCTTTTGTCATTAGGAATGCTGAAATATTTTTACTTCTTATGTGACTAGAGACTTAGTGATCAAGAAAAGTAAATTAACTATTTAAGTCTTCTTTTCCTTTCTGCACAATTAATTTTTTAAGGTAGGAATTGTTAAAGCCAGTGCCATCAATTCCAATGCCATAATTTTGCACTATTTTTATTAATTAATTAATATTTACCAATTAAAGCTATGGGCTGCCAGTTTGGGAAAATAACACATTTGCTTTTGAGAAAGAATAATGTGTGGTAGGTATTGACTATGTTTAGAAAACTGGAGAATCTAGAAATTGTAAAAAGAAATATGGCTATATACAAGGAAGTCAGTAGTCCTTCTTCCTCTTTCATAATTAATAAGAAAATATTTCAAAAACTAATTGCTATTATGAACATGTAGTTAAGAGCACTTGTGCACATATTCATTCCAAAATATTTGGATTGAACAGGATGGCAGACTAGAATATGACTACTTTAAATAGGCAAAGGACAACAAGCTTCATACATTTATTTACACTGATATAATATATGTACCTTTTAAACCCTTTGTTCTAAGTTCTTTGTTGATTTCACAGATGTTTTAGTTAATTAACAGATTCTGATTTGTTGTGTATTAATCCTCACTTTTGCATCAAAATATTAAAACAAATCTTCTGAAGTTGAAAATGTCTTGGAATTATGGGATTGAGACCCACTTAGTCTCCTTGGCTAGATTGAAAGGATTATTTCACCCAATCATCCCACAACAATATCCTAAACAGCTCTTCCCATAAGACAAATAGAATTTTAGGGAATTAAGCAGAAAAGAGGGCAGGTTTCTATATCAACAGCTTTCTGATGGATGGGTTCTGTATCTTTCCTATAGGAAATCCCATTCCTTTTGGATCATATCTTATTTATCCAGCAGTGCTCCTCATTTCACATGTAATATTGCCAAAAAGTTGGTATGGGGAGGAAGAGAATTCTTCTGGTATTAGACTAGATATTCTTTATTCGGGAGCTTAATCATTTGAGTATTGTTATGCAACATGTTAACTTTATATTCATAATTTTGAAATAGGAATCATTGAATGTGCAGTTCTTTTGTTCTGAAGTTTTATATTTAATCCTTTCTTCTGTGTTCCTCTTTTATAGGCCTGTCCCAGGCTCCTTATCTTCACTGCTACACCTGCACAATCGTCAAAGACAGCCCATGCCTGCTTCTATGCCTGGGACTTTACCTAATCCTACAATGCCTGGATCCTCCGCTGTCTTGATGCCTGTAAGTATTTTTCTTTTCTTTTCTGCATGTATAGTTTCAAAAGTAACAAACAGTGTAAGAGCACAATTAGCATAAACATATAAGCAATGTAGCTGGATTGGACCACTGGCCCATCCGGTCTAGCAGTGTGTTCTTACAATGGCCAGATTAGTCACCCAGCTGAGGCCTTCAGAGGCACTCTAACTGCCATCAGAACTAATAACCATAGATTCCCTTGAGTTAGTGCAATCTCCTTTTTAAGCCACCTTTTGAAGTTGACAGCTAGCACTTCTTATGGTAGCAAATCCTAAAGTTGAATTATGTGCTATAGGAATGTGTGAATGTTCATATATGTCTATGTATTTCTGCATGTACAGTATGTATGTGTGCCCACATACAAACACACATGCTTTTTATTCTGATTCTTCCAGGATTCAATATTATTGACTCTGTTCCCTGCATTGTGTGTAAATGTGCCTATGTGTATATTTATATACATATATACACTTGCGTGCATGCATATACACATACTATGAAATCTACCAAGATCTGCATTGCAGATGCAGGAACATCGTTTTAGCTTTACCTTCTGAATTTAAGATAGGAACTTGGAGCTTTTATCCCTACCAAATTTAACAATTATTTTAGAGAAAGTCTCACTTTTCAAATATTCCAGACAATTTAAATAGCATTAACCTATGTAATGGTATTTTAGACCTACTTAACTTAACCTAGGTTATTTTCAAAAATAAAAGCAAATTATTATTAACAAAATCTCAAACCTGGGTGATTTGTACTTTTAGTGAAAAGAGAAATTTCTTTCAATTAGGAGACAACTAAAAATATATATGTTTTATTTCCTGTGATAAAGGGAATCAACAAAAGTAGTACCAGTCTGATTGGACACTATATTATATAAAAACCTTTCAACTTCCCAGATGTAGCTTATTAACATTAATGGAACAAAACACTGAATTAGATAAGACTTTTCCTGTAGAATTACTCTTATGTTTACCAATAGCTTGACTCTTGCTTATTTAAAAAACAACATGTCATTTGAAAATTATAGTTATCTTTGATCTTTAGATTTCCACATGCCAAAATTCATTTCTTCTCTCTGTTCGCTTCTCAAGATGGAAAGACAAATGTCTATGAACTCAAGTATCATGGGAATGCAAAATCCAAATCTCAGTAATCCATGTGCTTCACCTCAAGTTGCTCCAATGCATTCAGAAGCTAAAATGGTAAGATGTTAAACACTTACTTATATTGTTCTATTTAGTTATCATTTTTTACCAAGGACTTTAGGAATAGGATGTTTAGCTATCAACTTATGCTGGTATTGAAAACTGGATGAGAAAAATATTTAATGGTAGTAAGACAACATAATATTTTTGTCTGTTTCTCTGCACATTTGTGGCACTGGCTGATTTAATCTAGGCAGGTAACAGTAACATTTGCAATATGTGCATCTTCAGGACTATCTCTAACTCTAGTTACTGAAACTGATGACACACATCTTACTACTTTAAGATAGGAAAAGTTCGGAAAATATGCTATAAATCCTAACAAAATATTTGTAGTATATAAAAACCCCACACACTTCTCATTGTCCCCACAAAAAGTTAAAAGAGAAAAAACAGGAAACTTTACCCCTATCTACTTGCCCCACTGTGTCCCATATACAGAACGTTAACTACAGCCCTGGTCATCCAAAGGCTGATAAAATGACATCAATCTTGTTTCCAATATCAAAAGGTTTGATTCTCTTGGCTTTGAGTATCTATTAGCTGTTTTGAGCTTTTCTGTATGAGTCATTCCTATCAAGTAGATCCTAGGCTTTTAGATTATGGGAAAAATATATTTCTATTTGCCATTATGGATTTTCACTGTCACTGTCATTATCTATCAGTTTCCTGATTCATCTGCAATTTTTAAAAAGATCTTCATGAACCTTCAAATTTAAGTATGTCAAAGAAACATGCATTTGGAAGTGAATCAAACTAATGTTTTACTACTGGGGACTATAACTCATGCACCTGGTTTTTACTATCTTTGATTTTCTATTTATGAACCATTCAGAATGGTGTTTTACAAGTTGGGTGGCCACTTAAATAAATACTGCTGTTTGAGTTAAGAAATACATTGCAGCATTCAGAGAACTGATAGCCATGTTCTGATCCTTATGTTAGTTTGGAAAATATGTAGGTTTTTGTAAAAATCAAATTCCTGAGTGAGGCAAACATACGCAAAGAACCTAGATATGAAGCTAAGGCTCCGCATCACAAAACCTTCCCAGTTTGGTATGGATTGCAAATTGTAGAATTCTCATCCAAAATTCACATTTGATAACACACCGACACAATTGGATGGTTCTGTATTGGGGTGAAAGACAGACCTAGCATCTTGTATTGTCATCACTGGTTTATAATGCTTAGGGCTGGCTTGGAAGGAAGTCAGTGGGCACCTTTGAAGTTCCTGTCATGCTGCCATATGGGGTAAAGGGAAATGTTTTCCTGCCAGTAGGTTTCATGCCCTGTTTGGGTAGACATGAATGGCCACATCTTTCCCTCAGTGCAAATGTTGGCTAGGTAGCCAACCCAAGCTTTTTTAACACCTCAGCTAAAACCACACTCTCTAAACATACCCTTGGTTGGCTCAAAGAGCATATATTAGCCAAAAGCATTGACTACAACAGCCAAAGTAAACCTCTGGTTCCTATGTTGTGTGGTGAACAGGGATCATGATGTGCCAAAAAGCAATAGCATCTGCAGCTTAGCTTATTAAATCTTAGGCAGTTGGCAAGTTGTTGCTGTGTTTTTTCTCCCGTCAAACCAAGCTATAGCAAGCCAAGCAAAATAGTTCTTGGCTGAAGAAAAGAAACACCACCCTGGTAACTCTTTTGGAGACTAAAACCTCTACATTTACTTCGCCTTCTCTACCTTTTCCCTCTGAAGATTTAAAAAGGAAGGTATTGGTGCTTACAATGAGAATACTATTGTTTAACATATGAGATTAAGAGGATCACATTTTAATCTGAATCCATTTGTTTTGGCTTAGGGCCTAGATATATAAAGTGTTGGTTTGGTAAGCCCTTCCACATCAGATAATTCCAAGAAAACAGCATATATTAGAAAGCCATTAACTGTAGAGTTAATTGATTTCAACAGAAATAGCATTTAAGTCATGGCATGAGGTTATATTTTTAAATTAAAATTTGGCTGCATACTAAGATTTTCAGAATTTAATTCCCACTTTGTGCGATAGCCTTTTGTAAATTGCTTGCACACTCAGAAATGCTTGTCTTACTCACTGATAATCTTCCATACGATATGCAACTGAAAGTTTCATTGTTTAGATTTATACTGCAAGTCTAATAAGATAGATAGATTTCTAGATTAGAAATCTAAATTAAATAGATTAGAATTGTTAGATTTACTGTATATTAGATATACAATGTAGATATAATATAAATTAGATATACTGTAAATCTAGCAAATTACATTAGCTGTACAAGCCATTGAAATCAGCCATACGTACTCCTGGATGTCTGGTAAACCTAAATCAGCCATAAGAAAGATACTTAATCCCTACACAGCAGCTACGTAACGTGAAGTGTGGCACCAGGAATTATTGTTGAGCCAAGATGGACAGGTTGTTAGGAAGCCTTTTATATATTTGCCACGCTTAAGTATCTGAGAGCCCAGGGAGCATACTGTCATGTTGAGACTAAGGACAACAATTTTTCCAGATATTTTTATGCTCTCCTTATGCAAGCCTTCTTTCTGTAGCTGGAAGGCACCTGCTGGATTGCAAAACTGCAGCATGCCTCTTAAGAGGGTCTATTAAAAAATACAAAATATAATAATTATCAGGTAAGCAATTACAAATAAAACCAAATAACAGACTTATTCCAGCCAGCCTCCAGTGATAGGACATTGCTGATGTAATTAGACGTTTTCCAGAGGTAATTTTCCATGGCAGTTTGCTTTTTCCAGGGGGCCAGGATTTCCATTATAGCATCATTCCCTAGCCATGAGAATAGGGATTAGGAATATTTTTGGGAACATTACTGTATTTCCCAAATATTTTTACAGAAGCATTTATTAGGATATTTTAAAATACTTTGTGAAGAAGTATGAAGAATACCCATTCTTAGGAATGTTAGCTTTCTGCCATATTAGGTCCCTGTCATAAAGAAACTTATTATATAGGAAAAGACTTAGAAGCGGCTGCATAAAAATGCATTATCTATTTGTACAGGAAAGACAGCTATAAATTAACTTTGGTAATATATGTAATTTATCAAGTCTGATTTTTTATTCTCCTCTGCCAATTGTACTTGATCAAGAAATGATTTGCTTTAAAATAATAGGAATAAAGAGATGAACATAACCAGCTGTATTTTAAATTAGATTAGAATAGATTCAATTGACAGCAGGCTTGATAAAAGGAATGATCAGAATTGCTTTGGAGAAGATTTTTATTCATATCCTACCTTAGGCGTTTGTCTAGATCCTAACATTGTAACAGAAAACAGTACTATATATCACAGTGAAATAAAATAAAATAAAAATTAAAGTTGGAATGATAATAAAATAATAAATAAAATACAGCAGAGGTAATTGTCTTTAGACACATTCCAGACTTTTTTTTTAATAACATGCAATGCTGTTTAGCTTCATTCATTTTTGACAACATGAAATACTATTTAGATTCAACATGTATATAAATATAACAGAGCTAAGCCACTTTTAGGGCTGTTGGACATGCACAGAATGTTAATAGCATGTTATACAAGCTTATAAAGTGCTTGCCATGAAATGTTCCACTCCGCCTTCATTTGTCCTCTTTTCTGAATAGGTAAGCATGCTTATCAAGTACTGGATTAAAATCAACCACCATTTTCATTTTCCAGTTACACATTTGGGAACAATGGTGAAATCAGAAGGACTTTTATAAGCATGATGATGCAACACTGATTCTTGCCTTGCTGCATATCCAATAATTTTAGAGTTTGAGAAATGAGAATTGTAATAATTAAATGTTATTGATTCTTTAAATGTGGCAGTACCAAGTAGATAGAACCAGCTGCATGGGTATCTCAATGGTGTGGTAAGAATTTGAAGAAATGATCCGTAAGGGAACAGAGAATTTGATTCATTTAGAGTAGAGTTTGAAGTACTCCTTAATTTAATAACATGATTTATGGTGCAATCCAGATGCAATTCAGTTCCACTGAATCTAGTCCCTTTAAATATCTTATTCCATATCAGTGGGAATACAGATGCAGTTTCAGTTTTGTAGATAACCTGTATGCACACACGCACAATTGACTAAGCTGTCTTAAAACAGCAGCTCAAAAACAGATCTATAGTACAAAAAAAATTATAACTTTAAATGCATACAAAGACATAATAAAAGAACAATAACATTGTTTATTTGGTAGCTAAAACAATTGCACAACATTGAAATTAATAAAATTAATTGTTAGCAAGATTCTAAAAAATAGGGTTGCTTTACAGTAATGTAAATTTAATTTGAAGTTACTGGTAACAGGTGCTAACACAAAAGATATTCATTGTCTCACACTCAGGAAGGGCCTTTTTTTCCCCCTGAAATGCTGCCTAGAAACTTGTATGGGAATTCTCAAAAAGTAAAGGAAGTATTTTCTTCATAGCTATTCACATGCAAATGTATTCAGATTTAATCCACCAAGTGATGGACTAGGACTCATTAGTCTTGGGCAGACTTCCCACAGCTCAATTCGGAATTAGTATTTGAAAGGTTTTCTGGCAAGAGTTTGGAAGAAGTCTGTTTGTTTTGAGAGATGTCTTTCATCATTTGGAATGTGGCATGTTGACCCAGGCAAGTACAGTAGGCCTTTCTCAGTGGTGGCCCCACATTTATAAAATTCAGTTTTTATTCCTGAGATTCGCATGGCTTTATCATCCCCAAGTTAGTTAAAAAAACTTTTAAGTACTTTTTAAAGAAATGGTTTTTACTTGTTAATTGTTAACCAATGTACTTTTAGTAGTATTGTAAAGTATTACACATGTATTAAGAAGGTTCTTTGTGTTTCGTTGTGGTATTATTTATGCATATTGTTGGTCTGCTGTCTTATGAGTGTGGTTTAGTATTTAAAGATAGTTAGAGAGTCACTTATGTAATTTAATTGGTGTCACATTCAATACTGTACCATATTTGAGGCCCACTTAGAATTCTTATTGAGTGTTTGATGATA